CTGCATTATAGCATTAAGCTCATCTAAGGCAGCTTTTTGTGCTATTTGTTTTTTTGTTTTTTTATGAGTACTGTTATCACAAGTACTAAAATAATTATGGTTGCCCTTAATCTTACCCTTATTTTTTTGCCAGGCATTTTTTACATGCCACTGGCAAAGTAATATTTTGGCATTTGGAAAAACTCTACTAATGGTAATTTGCTGTGCATCATCACAGTCCGTAAGAAAGGTATGAGGTACCCAACCTTCATTTGATTTTTTACATTCAAAAGCCAATAAATTAATGTGTCGTTTGCTTTTTTTTCTGAAATTAAATATGCTATAGAAACACCTTGCCCGCCAGTATCATCTCATACGATCATAGTAAAAAGATTTGTCTTGTATGCTGTGGTTCCATGTGTTCTATCTAAGCACACAGTTTGGGCGTTTTTTTGCTTTAACATTCTTTTTTGAAAGCTAGTTTAGAACCCATATAGATAACCCAAATCTGAACCCCAAATTAAGTTATTACAAGTATACGATCCGTCTTCTTGGGACAAGGCAATCTATTCATTAACAGATATGTCTTCATCATAACCTTGATCGTTATTGTCTAAAAAAACTACACCTTTCATTTCTTCATGGACTATATTGTAAACATTTATATAAGATAAATACGCATCTTGTTTTTGAGTTAGAGGTAAGGAGTCGAGGCCATCATTATTACAAATTTTATTAACACATTGATAAAAAATTGATACGATTTGTGCTGGTTTCATTCTGTCTCTTGCTTTTTCTTTAATCCAGTCTCTTGCCTGTTTAGATAAGCGAATATTTTTCAGATCTTCATCAGTTTCAGGAGAATGGCCATTATGAAGCGTGTAATGAACAATATGAACAGAATTTTCTTCCTCACTACGATGTTTTAATACTTTTAAATAAAATTTACACCCAACTTTTTTGGATGGCTTTTGAATTGGACGAGGATTATTATGACCAGATAAAGACGCAGTAGGTTGATTAATGATTTTAGTTGTAGCTCTAGGTTTTCTAGCACAATGACACAGATACAAGTCATTTAGCTCATACTCTTTATTTTCCCGTCTGTTATGTCGAGTATAATGAGCTCCTGAAATATTAGGAAGATCATTTTTAATTCACTTTTCGTATGTACTTAAATCAAGATGAGTATATATTTCAATATTGTCATCTTGACTATCGCTTTCATTTTTATAACCTTCATTTTCATAACCTTCATTTTCATAATCTTCATTTTCATAATCTTCATTTTCATAGCTTTCATTTTCATAATCAACATCGTTATTTGTGTTAAGGAGATCAAATATGCGAGACATGATTTTTTTTTTTTGAAAAAAGATTTGAATAAGAATTTGAAAAATATCTAAGATAAACGATTGCTTTTGGTGTACAAGAATTTTGACTATAAGATAAGTATAAACGAAACTTTAATGATAAATATTATAATATGATAGCGCTTTTTTATACTTTTTAAATACTATAGCAAAAAAATATTAATATGCGTTGAAGTATTTTTTTTTCTTTTATCTGATTACCTCACGAAATTAGTATTTATTTTCAGGAAATTGGATGCATAAATTATGAATAATGATGGCAAAATTACTTAACTATGGCATTGCAGCTTAATAGAAAATTAATATGCAGTAAGGTTTTTTTTTTCACTAAACTAACATTTATTTTTGAAAGGCAATTTTGTTACATGATCGAATTATACATTCTGTATCAAGATATGAAATGTAGAAATTATGGATGATGATAACAAAATTACTAAACTATAGTATGGTGACTTAATAATAAAATTATTATGCATTGAATTTTTTTTTTTGCTTACAGCATTATTACTTTTTTTTTTTTTTTTTTTAACTATTTTAACCTCACGAAATTGGAATTCATTTTTGTAGGCAATTTTATTATACATATAACCGAATTATGCATCCCGCATCAAAGATACCTATTTATAAGAGTATAGTAATACAGTAAGACCTCCCTAAGTGCACCTCCTCGGGACTATAGTTAAAAAAAAGCAAAACGTGCACTTAAAGAGAGTGTGCATTTATAGAGAACAAAATATATAATGCTCTTATAAGTTGGGGCCAAGTTATGCCGTGCATTTAGAGAGAATTTACATAGTGCATGCACTTATAGAGCGTGCACTTAGAGAGGTCTTACTGTATATATAAGATGTAAAATTATGGATAATGTGACAAAATTACTAAACTATGGTATTTGCAGCTTAATAGTAAAATTAATTTAGCAAGCATAGCATTTAACCACAAATCATATTGTCGCAATGTAGCATTTAATGCTGTAAAATTTTGCAAATTAATTTGCTGTCTGCAAAATGATATTGTTATTTTTTATTAAATAAATCTATTACAGTATTAATTTATTATAATTTGGCATTATTAAATGTACATTCCTGTTAAGATATTTGCATTATGCTATTATGAGTATGAAATCAATTTTATATGCATTAATTTTTGTATAAGTAGCTAAGTGCAATTGAAATTTACAATATGCATACACTATACAATTAACTACACGTATAAAGTCATTATTAAAAATTAATATTTACTACATATCATTATCCAATTATTTTTAGATATCAAATTTATTCGAATTAAGAGATAAATATCACCATGCATAAGGAGTAAAATATGAATAATATCATGAAAACTAGGGTGAAAATGATCACAAAAATAAAAAAAAAAATCTAACCAAAATCATGAAAGTGAAAAATGCAACTAATGTCACGAATTTTTTTTAAAAAAAATTATAACTAGAATCACAAAAGTGAGAAAAAAAGTACTGATAGCATCACGAATAAAGAATAAAATATGGATAATATCACGAAAGTAAAAAGGCATAAAAGTAAAAAAATCTCCAAAATTGAAAAAAGCTATAAGATCACAAAATGAGAAAAAAATACAGATAGTGTCACGAAAGTAAAAAAATAAAAGTAAAGAAAAAATGTACAGACAACAGACAGCATTACAAATAATAAACTATATGCGAAAAAAATAGATAACCTCTAAATAAAGCATGTTTGTTTTTTTACATCTTAGTTAATTAGTCGATCAAGTTAAGTAGAATTCTATCCTGTGATCGATGCTGATTGGTCGGACATGCATAGATCGTCAATAAACGTTACGTAAGCTGTTGGGTAAATAGATGCACCCGATCTACTACAGCTGTACCTGAGTTATATCCCCATATTTATGCAAAATAAATTTTTTTTTTTAATCACGTATAAAAAAAATATTGGTTCATTGCATGTTTGATTATCACGTGATACGCGCTATTAAATAAATTTGCTATTCATTGATACGCGTTCATCATAGAATATTTTAAAAAAGCTTCACCTGAAAAGTATCGGTTCCTAGACTTTTACAGATACCACCAGAAGCAAGATGATTTTACCCGATCTTTTCGAGAAGAGTCCTACATTCTCTTGCATTGTTTGAAGTCACTGGTGAAAGATGGAATACTTAAAGTCAAAAAGAACGCTGTCCATTTGCAAAATTCTTTTGAGGCAAGTGTCTATTTTCTCTTCCTTTGATGTACGGGTTGTAGACAGGTGTGAGGAAGTCCCGAGAAGGGGTAACATACTTCCATGGCTACGGTGGGGTTCAACCCACTTTTGGTGGTTCCACCCTGTTTCACAATTATTGTGGAAGTAGGAGTCTCATTTGCAGTCCCGAGAAGGGGTACATACTCGCTCGCACAACTATAGTAGAGGTTCAACCTGTCTTACGATGGTCCTGTTGTGATCTGTCTACACTATTTTATTTTTTTTCGATGTTAAGGTGACCTCTTTGCCATGTTGCTCTTTATTCGAATATCAGTAGTATTTTTAACTGTCAGACACATTCCGATGGCTGTACATATTTGAGTGTCGTCAAAGGAAAACCCGACAATTTAAAAATAGAACTTTTGTATAACAAAATGCGGGGTTTTAAAAATAGATAACATGTGATTTAAAGAACAATATATTATTCTAGAATTCATTCTAGTTGTTTCAATTGTGCATCTTAAACTTTTTTTTTTTTCTTTTGGCTCTATATCATCATTTTGTTTTTGTTTTGCATTCTGTTTATTCTGTTCTTTTGCATGAGCCATCTTTAAATTTTTAGCTCTCTCTATTGTATCACTCTGTGGTTTGGGACAAAGCTCATCACGGAAAGCGATCGGGCAGTATGGATAAATTTTCTCCTATAAATCTACTTGTTTTTCATCTGAAAGACCTCTTGGAAGAAGTTCATGAGGGTTCAAAGTTACAACATCAACATTTTTTTTCAATAATTGAAACTCATTCCAAGAATCATTTATTCTTATTTTATTCTTATTATACTGGGTCTCTCATGATTAAACTGGAAAAAATAATATTTTTGTATAGCCGGAGGTTTATGATACAATTTGCCAAGCACTGAAGTCCAGTCACAGAATGGTTCTATTTGATTCTCCAAATTTACAAGCATATTGTTACTTGTACTTTTTTCTATTACTTCTGCTAATTGATTCATACACCAAACTTCTGATTTAGCATACTTCTGTTTTGTAAGGCCAAATCCATGATCAACTGAATTTCTAGTATGACCTTTAATTTGAAAACAATATTCGACTTCTTCAAATATTTGGACATGACAGGTTCAAAGAAGATACCAAAGAAGACAAGAATTTTTATTCTGTCTACCGCAATTATCTGCCTATAATCGGATTTTTTTTGCATCATCTGCAGCAGAAGTAAGAAATAGATGCACAATCGAGACAACTTCATTTGCTCTTTTAGAAGCTTCTCCTTCTGAATATATTACATGCTAGTAATTATTAATACCTTCATCTACCAAACCGAATTGGTATGCTTTCAACAACGGTAAATAGTATCACTTTCTAGGTTGTTGAAAATTATGAGGCAATTCTACATCTTGGGCAAAATCAAAGGAGAAAGTGTGAAATTGGGTTCGATTGCATGTCTTGGCAGTTCATATATCATCTTCATAGGCATCTCTCATTGCGCGATAATCAGCTATGTGTATTGATAATTGTATATTAAGATCCTCATTAATATTATTACTTTCCTTTAACTCCTGTTTAAACAAGGTATATTCATCACACACATCTTTAGAAGGTTTTCTAATTGTGATCTTACTAAGTGTAAAATCGCTTCTCTATATTTTTTTAAAAGTATTGCAACTTTTAATCAAATTATTAGAATTCATTAAGTTATATGTAGCCAGAAGATGATCATAAGAATAGTAAGAGGGAAGAAGAATATTATCATGCTTTTCATAGATCACTATTATCTGCCTATCTGTTTTTTTTCGAGTATACTTTCGAACTGCTAATGCTTCACTATGTCGTTCACCCATCAAATTAATAAAAGATTTTGTTTTATTAACTGTCTCAGTAGACAAGGTGTTCTTGGACGAGTGACCAGTATTACCATGAGGTCGGGATAACATAGATTTACATTCTTGAATTCAACTATGATGATTATATAATGCATCTTTACCACATAACCAAAATGTTTTAAAGAAAGAACAGCAAACTCCGGGAGTAAATAATTTTAATATAGGTCTGGTTTTCATGATGTTTATTATAAAGAGAAGCTATAAGAATCATCATCGAATAGCGTCTTTGATTTTTGTCCAATCAAAGACTTTCTAATATCAAGGATTGTAAAAGGCTTGATACAACCTTTTCAATACAACTGTCTTTATATGAACAACAGCTTCTAAGTTTATCAATTAAGTTATTTATAGCTATTTGATCATTTTCATCAATTTCTTCGCTTTTTTCATTGAACTGATTAATTTCCTCAAACTCTTCTTCCATAGTATCTTCGCATTGGGAATCTTTATCTGATTCAAGAGTAGCAAAGTCAAGAGTATCAATAAAGTATTCTAAATTTTGAACGGCGGTATTGGATAATTCCATTTTTCAATCGCGACAATTGGCTTTTATGAGGACAACTCACTTGTGTTTTATACAATTTTTTTAAATTAAAAAATTTATTGATTATTTTCAAGTGCAATTCCATGACTCAGTGTTGGTAATGGAACTCAATAGAGCCCTGAATTGGAGATGCTGACGACATTTCGACTAATTTGCAAAAACCTAAATCCTAAACAAATCAATCTACCATTATGCATAATAATTGTCCAGTCTCCTTACAGCAGCGAAAGATGCATAAATGATTTTTATATTTAAAATGTTTGAAATTTTAGCATTTGGGTTTGATCTGTTTGACCATTGGGATACTACAGTAACTACTATTTTTAAAATTTGCGATACTACTCTGAATAGAGCTAACTGATGCAATCTAAATGCATATCTAATTTAAAAAAACCCCTATATATATAATTTTAATTCCATCCCAACCGTTACGTCTGATTTAAAAAAAAAAAAAATTAACACCCCTCTTACTGAAATATTTATTCTAACCTAACTGTGCCTGGTTTACAAAAAATATAAATAAATAAATTGAAATCTATAATTTAAATGCCAACCGCTGTATCTGGTTTGAAAAAATATTGTAAATAATTATTCGTTTATTCGTCTAAAATCCAAAATGTTTGTTACTTTTATATAATTCAAAGGATTCATATTTATCTTAAACAATAAATGATTTTAAAGATAACTATCCATTTTAAATTGATGAAACAAAATGCTTGTTACTTTCAAAAGATCTGTTTTAAATACTTTATAGTTTTGGTATACAAGCGGGTTCAATTTTTAATATTGTCTGAACATTCACCAGGAACATAGAGATTTTACGATTTACTGTGGTATTAAAGAGTATAAACTTACAGACCTTGTAAAGGCATATTCCTCAAGATCACGTCCTCTAGTATTAAGTTCTTTCAAGATCAACAGTTGGGCTTCTGATATACTAATTAGACTATGCCAAGTTGATTTTCTGTTTAACATAACATGAGATGACTTGTAAGAGGGGGTGGAAAATTAAGAAAAAACAATAATATTAGATACAACTTAATGCTGCAATCTTATTGGTTAATTTGATGTGTATTGACCTATATAGATTTTGAAAAATAGAGAGGTGTTATTTAATATTATATGCATTAGTTCCTATAATTTTGAAAAATTGAGGGTGTGGGATTATGTTAAACAGAAAATCAAATTGGTCTGGCCTTATATAAGGTACAATAGTAAAAATTAATAAACAATTTTATTTTTACAAATCGAACTTACTTGAAATGCTATTTTTTACTTACTCTCAAATTTTAGCAAATTTTGAATAACTTTTTATTTATAAACCTTTTATTATGCATTTTGGATAACTTTTTATTTATGAACCTTTCATTGTATGTTTTGGTGCAGAAAATTAATTTTTGTGCTAAAGCATACCATATTTGCGTATAATAGCAGTTAATTCGAATTTCGTTTATCTATTTGGTCCTGAAATAATACGCACTCACCTTTTATATAATTTAATGCTTTTACGTATTAAATTAGTATATTATTTTGTACATATTCTTATTTGGGTTCATGAATAATCGAGATGGTTTTAACACAGTAAAAGCGAATAACTCTCAACAACCCCTTATCGAGAGTGAATAACCCTCAAACTGGGATAGATAACTATTAATGAGAGCTCAGCATTTCTCTAAAGTTAAAATATATAAATACAATTCTTGAACTTATAAAGAGTTTACTTACTAACTAATTACTTTTACTAATAAGCAATTATATAGAATAATTGCACCTTGCATAATTGTTAATATGCATTTAGAGGATGCTTGAAGTCAGATTCATCACAAATTTAAATTAACATTAAGGTTAGTGTCAATGTGTAATTGTCTTCTCAACATTTTTTCTTATTTTACTAAGATAGGTTTATACATTTGTTTTACATTTTTTACTTTTTTTACTTCATCAGGCTAATTCACGTAAACATATAGGCAGATTTGTATCAATATGCAAAAGAGAGAACAGAGTACCCTAAAATTTTTTATAGCAGAACAGATTATTGACAATATAATTGTCTGAAAGACTGAGACAGAAGGTTTATTTTTCATAACAATAACTATGTCAAACTGCATGTCTTGCTAGACCCAGACTAATAAATTAGATGATAATCTAATGGGTTTTGAGATAACCTAATGGACTTTGTGCATATTCATTAAATCCTTCTTGCAGAATAGACTCTCGAAAAAACAAACCAATTATCCTAATTATTCAAACATGTCACCATCAGCTCTTTTTTGAGCTCTTTCGTCAGACCAATCAAAAGAAATTAAATAAGAGGTTTAATCCAAATTTAGTGCTTAATTGATAAAAATCTGCCCATACAACAGAAGATTTCATGATAGACCTAGCTTTAAGCGATTCCTGGATTTAGAAAATTTGATTTACAAACTAATTTGAAATGCATTATAAAGATTGTTTTATTATTGTTGACTTGCTAAAATAATTTGTATCAAATTTGTAAAACAATAATAATGATAAATAAAAAGATTTAAAAATGTAAATTTTCTTAAAAAAATTTGTAGTTTTCGTGATAGCAAGAATAATAAAATAAGCACCAATTTTATTGCAACAAAACAATGACTTCGATTTTCTGTGCTATTTGCTTTATAAAAAACGTTTCCTTCTCAAGTTCAGGAAAATGTTATATTGGGTCTGTGGTCTACCGAACAGCAACTAAGGAATTTGCTGAATATAAGTTTAAAGCCTTTTATATAGAAGAATCATCACTTATTGAAGAATTGACTAAAAAAACTATCACTATGATAATTGGTTGTTTTGCATTCGAAGATGAGTTAAATGTAAGTATAAAACCCAACTTGTTCATACTAGAGGTGCAGGCGAATTATCCAAATGATTGCTGTAACCTTACCGATAATTATAGAGATAATTACGGCATATTACGGTAAAATTACGGCAATCATTAGAACAATTTGCCTGCACCTCTAGTTCATTTTAACCTAGAAGAATATAATGATTATAAGTAATTTAATTTCATACTTTAAATTAAGGTTATGATTTCTCAAAGTGTAACTCTGCAAATTCAAATGTTACAAAATGAACCTATCATTTATAATCTGCCAATTGCACCTGCTTTTGGAATTTTTTCTGCACCTGTTCAAGACCCTTCTGAACCACATGGAGACAATGCCATTTTTCATTTAAAAAAAGGAGTCTATAATAGTATGAATGGAAAAACTACTAATTTGTTAGTTATATGTAAGTATAACCCAAAGGGTCGCCATTCAAATGTAGCTGAAGCTACACATCGTCAAACCATTTTTTCTGTTGCTGGTGAATTAATTTTTGTCAAGAAATCAGTTTTTGTGTTGTGTGAAACAATAAAATAGAATTATCCAATGCAAAAAAATTCAAAATCGCAGGTGTGTGATGGGGTAGAACATGTAAAAAAAAGAAAAAAAAAGATAAAGAGCTCATAAAAATTGCAGAAATTTTTGAATCCAAAAACCAAAATCAACAAAATAAGAAAAGTTACTATATAACTATTGAAGATTAGTAAACTTAAAAATGCTGCCACTATTATTGATGATTGATATTGGTTGATTAATAATATTGTCATTATACAAACTCATTAAAAATGATAAAAAAACATTTGATCCTTACTTTATATTAAAATTTGTAATTTTTTTTTTTTTTTTTTTTTTTTTTTGCTTTGTATTAGAAGCGGTTTGTTTTTTTTTATTATGCTCAATTTAGTGCATTAATATCTATAACACTTCACTGGGGTGTGACTATTCTAATCCAAATCTAAAGTAAATATTTACTCTTCAATTGATAAACTTATAATAAAAAAAATATAATACATATTTATTTGTATAATTTAAGCAATGTAGCAAACCAAGCTTTAATATGATCACAGCCCTATTTATCGAAACAAAATCACTTTGACATTAATAATAATTTGTCATTAAAAACATTACAAGTTTCGCTTTTATAGTAAAGAAAAAAAATACATATCACTTACTTTGGTTTAAAAAAATAGCCAATCGATTTATACATAAAATCTTTCAGTATTATTACTTATTATTGCATCTCACATGATTTTGATTTGGCCGAAAAGACTAGAATAATAGATTAGAATATTTTTTCTTGTCACATGCACTTTATAAATAATTTTGAAACCCGCATTTTGTCATACAAAAGTTTTATTTTTAAATTGTTGGGTTTTCCTTTGATAATACTCATTTGTAGAGTACAACTAGCTATATCTGCATCTTTTGAGCACCTATTTAAGTATCTACCTATCACTAGGTTCTACACTAGATGCTGTACCTGCACCTCAACTAAGGGGGTACCCATTTAAACCCTCTGTGCCTATGTACCAACCCTTTTATATCCAAGCAATGATACTTAGTACTACCTTATTTTCATATACTGGCTTAGGGCTTTAAACAGGCTCAATCATTTTAGAGAGTCCTTTGATTTTGAGGTAAACCTGCTAAAGTCTTCCATACCCACATTTAGGCTGACCTAGGCTTTAGTAACTTATGCCTAGTCTGAAAACAAGTACTTGCAAGCCGAAGCCACTATTATTACCTACTTCTGCCCTTATAGAGTTCACTTATATCCTAGCTTTAGTACTTATCTAATCAGGAACCTTTCTATTGTTTTATCAAACTTCTAATCTAGATAGCCTGATTTGGTTTACAAGTAGTGTTTGAAAATGAATTAAAAATCTCAGTTAATCTGAAATTGATCTGAATCTGATCCGAATTCATAATTCGGATTGAATCCGGGAGTGATCTGTGCCAATCCGATGGTTTGTCATATATATTTGTTACAATATAAGTGATAAATTCGAATTTATCACGTGACAAATGCGAATTTATCACTTATATTGTGGCACAAGGTGTGATACATTCGAATTTATCACATGACAAATTCGAATTTATCACATAGCGTGATTATATAAAGATATGACCTAAATTAGGCCCAATCCCACTCAATCTGGGCCCAATCTGATGTTTCAGGGGCCAAACCTAATTTGACAGTTTGGATCTGCACAAATCTGAATCCAATCCATGCTAACTTTTTCGAATACTATTTACAAGTTATGTTATCTGCTTTCCTACTAGTTTAACCTGAATACTGGCCTGTGCCCTTTTCCTCTAGTCGATTCCAGCAGCCTGGTTAGTATAGTACTCGCCAAACACCTGATTTTCGTCCAGATTCACAGCTTATTGATTTTTTTTTTAAACTTTTCAGAATCATCGAAATTATGTGCTACCTCTCTACTTGGGACTTGCTAAGTAGGTTTCTATTTGGAACTAGTCTACCAAATTTATACAGATTACAGGAACTTATCATGAGTTTACACTACCTTTTATCGATTTGTATTTCTTCATGTAATTCCTATATTACATGAATGCTCTATAATCTTCCAAGTCTGTATTATCATTCTAATAGGGCTTGTAAGATAAGCTGTCTATTAGGTGATCATTACTTCTTGCATCTATTTGGTCTAACTATTGTTACAGGATCTATATCCTAATACTTAATTGATGATCCGTCACTCAACTGAAGAAAATGATCTGCAATTACTATGTAAATATGACACAGTTTATATAATAAAAAACCTAATTGGGAAATGTACAAATTTTTATATGTATGGATGCGTAAGAGTGAAAACCTGTAACCAATCATAGTAAATCATTAAATCTATTTTCAGGTTTTCACTCTCATGCATTCATATGTTTAACGCTTATTCTGTATTCCCTTGTAATTTTGCGATTCTAAACTTGTAATTCAAGGTTCGTTATAATTTTTTTATTTTGCAT